AGACCAGCCTCAAAAACCTGCCTCGATCATATTTTTGTTAAAAAAAAGCTAAACGTAAATAAACTCAATTTCAAATCTTATATCATAGAAGAGGATATAACTGATCATAATCCGATTGCACTATTTATAAATCAGGAAAAAGACTCTCAAATAGAAAAAATTATCAGGAAACAGTTTTGAAAACAAAGTTGGATGTTTTCAAATTCAAGCAGTTATTGCGCGATTTCGATTGGTCTGGTGTAAAAAATGAAAGTGATCCAGAATCTGCTACAAACTTATTTTTGGACATTTACCGAAAATTGTTAGAGGATGCAACGGAAACTAGATATGTAAAAATGAAGAACTATAAAAGGATTAAGGATTGGATTACAAATGGAATTGTCACTTCAATCAAAATCCGAGATAGAATGAAAAAGAAATTAATAAAAAATTATGATGAGCGACTGGAAAAGCAGTACAAAGAATATCGCAATAACTTGAACAAGTTAATTAAAAAACAAAAAAATGATTACTATAAACATAAAATTGAAGTTAATAAAAATAACATAAGAAAATTATATACAGTAATAAGAGACGCAACATATGAAAGTAAAGGCTTTGGCAATCTGTTAAATATAAAGGACAACAATGGACAGGAATTTATTGATGAGAAGGAAATGGCCAATTTTTGCAATGATTTTATCAATGTCGGAATAGAAATGGAAAAAGAAATCCCCCAACCACAAAGACCTTGTAACGCAGAAACACCTGTGAGCAATTCCATATACCTAAGACCCGTAACACAACAGGAATTGATTAAAAATATAGCGAGTCTAAAAAACAGCAGCTCCCCTGGACATGATAACATTAGTGCAAAAATTATAAAAGAAACACATACAGAAATAGCCGATCCACTATTGCTCCTGCTTAATTTGATATTGGAAAAAGGAATAGTCCCGACCCAGTTCAAAACATCGATTGTAACACCAATTCATAAAGCTAACTCTAAGGAAAATATAACACACTATAGGCCAATAAGTTTAATCACAAATTTTGCAAAACTTTTAGAGAAATCCCTCAAAACTAGACTAATCGATTTTATGAAACATAACAAGATTTTATCCCACAACCAGTTTGGTTTTCTTGAGGAGACCAGCACAGCAGATGCAATGCATAAATTGGTAACAGAAGTTGTAAATAACCTAAACAATAAAAAAAAATGTCTGGCCATATTTTTAGATCTTGCAAAAGCTTTTGACACTGTGCCACATAACAAACTGCTTGATGTCCTCTACAATTATGGAATACATGGGATAGTGCACAAACTGTTCAAGAGCTACTTATCCAATAGATTGCAAAGGGTGAAATTAAATAATACATTAAGTGACGAGCAGCAAATTAAAATAGGGATACCTCAAGGAACAGTCTTGGGTCCCATACTTTTTTTGACTTACATTAATTAATTGTTAAAACTACCTTTGGAGGGAATAGTGGTATCTTATGCAGATGACACATCGGTAGTTGTATCAGGAGACGACTGGGAAACAGTGAGGGAAAAATCAGTAAGGTGTTTCAAAATTATAAGAAATTGGCTACAAACATACAAATTAACGTTAAATATATTAAAAACTAACTACATAGCTTTCTCCCTCAATAATGTAAACAGACCTTTATTTAATTCAATAATTGTTGATGATCAGCCTATCAAGGAAACCGCTTGTACAAAATATTTGGGGATCATAATTGACAAGTTTCTTAAATGGCAACCTCAAATTGAATATCTATCTAACAGAATACGGAAACTTATACACAAATTTTACTTATTGAGAGAATTTTTAAATAGAAAACATTTGATGATGGTGTATAAAGCCTTCATCGAATCCATTATCAGGTATGGTATTATTGTTTGGGGAGGACTATACAATAACAGTCTACACAAACTAAACATTATACAGAAATACATACTTAAAATTATTTTCAAAAAAGATAGATTATACCTCGGATTATACCCATCACATTTACTTTTCAATGATGATATTTGTAGCGTAAGATCTATATATATATATATATTGACAGCGTGCACTTTCATGCATAAAAACCCTGAACTGCAGCATTTTGTTGACCATAAGCATAACACTCGTACCAGAGCAAAAAATAGTTTACAACTACCAGTGAGCAACAACAATCTAAATCTAAAATATATAAATTATTTAGGACCAAAAATTTACAATTTATTGCCTTTCTCCATAAGACAATGTGGAAATTTGAAATCTTTCAGAACTCTAAGCAAAGAGACAGTTTTACGAAATCACCGTCAATTTGAAAGGTTGTTTGATTGAGGCCTAATTTGGGTATAGCTTTAATTTAGGATTAAGTTAAATTAGGTTTGATTTGGCATTGGGGTTAAGTGGGTGATAACGGGGTTTTTGTCGATTATCCATTTTGTTACTTTCTTTTTTCTTTGTCATTTTTTTTCTTAAATAGGGGAAAAGAGGTTGTGAACTGTTTGTGTTCGCCGACCGTCTAAGTATTTGTGATGTTTTTTTTTTTCGATTTTTTGATTCTCTTTAATAGGCTCGTTCAGTGAGGTTCCATTAACCACGTTTTTTGATATTTTCATGGAGTATTACTCACATATAGCACACAAAAAAAAATTCAGCGCAATTGGATAAATATTAAAAAAGTTATGCGGCTTTGAATAATAAAACATTATGCCTCAGAAATTCATCGCTTAGAGATGGTATGACGTCATCTCTCGAGTCAAGACGGGCTAAAGGCCGTCACACGACCAACTTGAGAGATGCAGTGACGTCACCGCGTGTTTCGAAATTTCCAAACTTGGAGCAGCTTGATAATTTTTTTAAATATGAACAAGGGCTCGGAAAATTATGAAATTTTGCACAACTGCTAAACTCAATACGCTCTTTTAGAATATGTAATAAAAAAAATATGCTGAACGAGCCTATTGTATAACATGTCCCTAACATTAAATTAAAAATATTGGGTACCTACATTTAGAGCACATACAGATGTTTATAACATCTAGGTGCTACAAAATAAATCTTGTTTAATATGAATTTAATTAAGAGCAAATTCTTACAACTTATTGTGAATCAAAACTTGTATGTATGATCAAAATGTAATGTTGACCACAGACATTCTTGCAGAGAACTTTTCAAACAAGAGAATATTTTGACTGTGCCTTGTATTTTTATTGTGGAGACGGCATGCTTAATATTTAAAAAGTTCAAAACTTATAATGAGAATTCCAATTTGAATTATAATTTAAGGAATAACAATCTTCCCTTACCAATTCCGAAGTACACATTAACAAGAAACTCGATTATATATGAAAGTATAAAAATATTCAACAAATTACCAGAGGATTTGAAAAACATAGCAGACTTCAAAACATTTAGAGATTCTTTGAAGGGGTTTTTGTTTACCAAAGCATTTTATAGTATTCAGGAGTTTTATGATTAAATTACTGCTACAATAGGAATAACAATAATGCTTATATCAAGGTCTCTTATATTGTGTGTGAGAGTACTTTTCGTTTGTTTTTTTTGAGTGGTTTTGAATGTGTTTTAAATTATGTCATATATGTGAATGTTCTTTTATTTTAAATACCTAACTTGAAGTCGAACCTTTGTTAGTTATACCTATTCTATTAATTTGTCTATCGATATCGTAAATGTCTTTAAGTATGATGTTCTATTTTTAAGTATTTTTTTTTTAGTTTTTATTTTTCCTAGGAATGCATTGTGATTGAAATATTATTCTAATTAGAATTATTTAGGTATTACTTATAAAAACAAAAAAGTTCCTTTACTGCATCAAATGTTGAAATGTGTATGTCAAATGTTCTTGTAGTAATGGCTACTAAAATTATTACTTCTCGAGCTTTCGATTACTTACTTTTATATTTTAGTTCAAGTGGCCATATAATGTTAGGATAGGATTGCTTTGTCAATAAGTTTTTACAATTTCTGACAATAAAGCTTATTTTGATTTGATTTGATTTGAAGCATGAATCACGCCGTAAGCAATCTTCATGTATCACTTTGTTACATATATCACAAATCCATTTTAGAAAACTATTTTGTTTTTCTCCAATTCGTTTTTGTAATAAAACATAAGAATCCAGACAAAAATATGTTTTTATTTGTGCTAAAGATATTTCTTTTTCAAGAAGAAGTGGATCAATTTGTTGATGATGAGGAATGTTTTATTTCTCATTTTTAAAGTTTTTATGTAATGCTTTGCTTACCAAATCATCTGTATTTAAAACTGCATTAAGCATTATCTGGTGCCTCAGTTTAGGAACTTCATTTTTGAATAAAACACTTTTATTTTTCTTAGACCTTTTTAGTCCAATTGCAGTGAATTAATGTCCTTTGGGTCTTCCTTTATGGGTTTCAAAGGAAATTTAATACTTTTTTTTCTTCTAATTCTAATTTAATACTTTTTTTTCTTCTAATTGGTTTTGTGCAGTAGTATTTGGTTCTTGGGCTACTTTCATTAAAATGGTGTCACAAATATCTACAAAGAATAGGTAATACCTATTCAAGATAAGTCTGTTTCTGCAGAAATCACAAATTAGTCAGAGCAAATTTCATTGGTTGAAAACCGTCAGAAACAGTCAGAAAACTAGTATCAACCAATGAAATTCACTCACACTGGTTTGTGATTTCTGCCAGAAACAGACTTATCTCGAATATTATTCTTTGTAGATACTTGCGACGATACTCCTTAATTAGACAGAATTAGAAATGAACATCTGTTTTCGGATCTTCAATATTACCACTAAAGATCCGCATTTTCGGACCCCTAATATACAAATTGAAAATCCGAAAATTATCGGATCTTTAGTATGAACACTCGAGATCCGAATTTTCGGACCTCGGACCTCTATCCACTGCCTTTTTAAAAAGTTGGTATAAGGTGCTAAGGTGCATACTAGAGCTTCTCAAATCGAAACTAGATACGTTTATAAAAGAGATACTGACAAATTTACTCACTTCCAAGCTACAATATCTTTTCAAGATTGTCACCAAATCGATGATTTCAGTTTTTTTCTCATTTTCCACTGTGACCCCATAAATAGTCTGAAGCTCCCCGTTTTCGGCCAAACACACCCGGCATATATTATTGAAATTGCTCAATGAAATCTTTATGTCTTGTTTTTGCATTTTGTTCTTTTATTATTATCTATTTTATACTCATTTTAGTCATTCTTATTTAAATTTGTTTAAAAAAAAATAAATACAAAATACAGAATGTTTTATAAACAAAACCAAAACACAAATTTGTTTGACAGACATAAATGTCAAGGGTGAATATAATAGCGTTTTCTGTTGGTAAAACTCGTGCTGCACTCATGCAAAAATTATGTTCTGTTGGCAGTTTCCGAGTGGGTTTTTATGTTCTATTGGAAAACCAGGGCAATCAATTATTGCCCTCGTGCAACTTTTCCAGCACGAGGTCAGAGAGCTCGAGCCAATGTCAGGGCACAACAAAAATGGCGTAAATTGCCGAAAAGTCTGTGTATAAACAAAACCAAAAAATTAGGGATACCTATCGATATTGATAAAATTCTATATTTTTTATCTTCGTCGAGCGACAGCGATGAAGAGGAAGAATTATTAGGTCTGTTTCTGCAGAAATCACAAACCAGTCAGAGTGAATTTCATTGGTTAAAACTAGTTTTCTGACTGTTTCTGACTGTTTTCAACCAATGAAATTTACTCTGACTGGTTTGTGATTTCTGCAGAAACAGACCTATTTATATACAATCGCAGGCCTATGATGTATCATTTTCTGTTATTTTAACTTTAACAGCAACGTCAAAATAGAGACAGAAATAGATGTTGAGCCTTAAGACAGACGTTAAAATAACAGGACAGGAGACATCATAGGCCTGAATGTTTGCAAGGGATAATGAGATACCAAAAATTCAAAATTTTATTATTGGAATTGACATAAAAATTAATTTCAACGCAGGTATCATTGGAATTATTTCTGCACATCTCGGGAGACAGCATAATTATGTACTTTACATACAGGAAAAACTTCCGTTTTCAACTTTTTCTTAAACACAATAGTTATTTGTGTACCAAGGCCGTAAAGTTGATCTTTTTTGGCCGAATCAGAAATTTGCGGCCGAGGCGCAGCCGAGGCCAAGCAAATTTCAGGTGAGGCCAAAAAAGATCATTTCGGCCGAGGTGCACACAAAATTTTTTTAGGCGAGTGTTTGTTCTTGAAAAAAGAAGAAAATTCAACAGTAGCTTTAAACTTTATTGATCAAAATAGCCGACTTTTTCGCCTGGTATCTTACATTGAGCTTTTTTAAAAAAGCAATCAATTTTGAAAACTTGCTGATATGTTAGGTATTTCCGACTATAATTGTAAATTTTAACTTAACATAGAGTATAACATAGGTGGACCTGAAGACCATAAAGTTGAGGAATATTTAATTTTGGCATTTTCCGAAAAAAATGCAAGAAAATACTTCTCCCAAATTTTTAATCATGCCTCTTTTTTTAGCATTATATGTGGAAATTTGGATAGAGCTAAAATTAAAAACTTGGTTTCATTGTGGTTGCTAACTAATTGTTTATTCGTTGTGTTGATGGCTACGGCACTGCGTTTCCGATTGTTTGTTTATTTTCACCAAAGCAGCGGTAGCGGCGTAAAGTAAAAGCGGCCGTGAAGTAAAAGCGGCCGTAAAGTAATAAAGCAAATGCGGCCGTGAAGTAAATGCGGCCGTAAAGTAAATGCGGCCAAAAAAGATATACTTTAGGGATAAAACTAATCTTTTTGTGACAGTCGCCTAAAAACGTTTTTAATTTTTATTCCATTGAAAATATCTTTAGGTTAGGTTAGGGATCAGGGATCGTTAAATAATAAATTTGAAAAGAATGACAAAACGCGCCAAATTCATGTTCTTTTGGGATTGCACTAAACGTGAACTGATTCAGTGTTGAGTGCAGAACTCGGACAGCACGAGTTTTACCAACAGAAAACGCTATAAGGCGATTTTCAGCCTGGAATATTTATAACCAATGCATTTCCGCCGTCGCGGTTTTAACCAAAGTAGGGGAAGTTGTGACGTCACATATCAGCTGATTTGCTTTTGGTATTTACCACTTATAACCGATTATAACCCAGCTTTGGACTTGGGTTAATCTTTTGGTTACAGCTTTTTGATGTTATTGTTATTATTTTTGAAATTTGTATTGGTGTTTTGTGATTTTGCAGTTGCGTTGTAGCCTGGCACAATGAAAGAAGTAAACATTCACTCACTCACTGCAATTCACCATGTTTAGATCGAGGTTTAGATCATCCCCAAAGAAAATCTGTTCGATAAACGAGACTAACGAGAGATTCAGCTCCATTTTCTGTACCTAAACAAAAAACTATTGTTGAAACGAAAAAACAAATAAGAATAATAAACATAATCCTACACTGCTATAACCAAATCATTTCAGCGGTCAGTTCCTTGGGTTATGATTCTTGAATGTTGAATGGTGGGAAACTATGACGTCACACTTGGCTGTCAAAGTTGTCAACCAAAAGAATAACCACGGTATTTACCGATAAATAATCATTCCAGCAGGCTGAAAATCGCCTCTAGATGACGAGTGGAGTGACAAGAGGTTTTCATTTGTATCTGCTAGTTCCATTAGTTCTTTTCACGTGGCTCCGGTTGAACTAACCGGGTTACAAAACGGTTAGAGAAATGATATCCCGTTTTCTAACCCGGTTACAAAGTGACGTGATGGATACCTACCACTCGAATTTCAGCGGTATGTTGCGGTTTGTTAAACCGGAGCCACGTGAAAAGGGTTATTGGCTAGTTCTGATCCACAGTTCTCGGAACAAAATATTGCAGCTTAGGTATTCTGTTCTCTAATCATTAATAGGGCATAAGTGCAGGGCCCGCTTTAAGCCTAGTACTCATAACTGCGAAATTCGCATTTTTTTGACATTGCTTCGTTAAATTGACGTTTGATACACGCATAAAACGTCAAATTGTCAACGCAATGTCAAAAAAATGCGAATTTCGCAGTTATGAGTACTAGGCTTTAGGGGGGGGCAACCCGGGCATTTGCCCGGCAGCCTTATTCTGTAACTTGCAACCGAGATAATTGCGCAATTGTCGCTGTCAAATCGCTATTTGACGAGAGTTTTCCATTTAAAAAAAGCAACTAGCGACCGGTTGCTGGTTGCTATGTAATTGCTGTTCACAGGGCCGGCCCTACCATAAGGCGAACGGAGCGAGCGCTCCAGGCGCCAGACCTTGGGGGGCGCCTCCGATTCGTTCTTTGGTGATAAAAAAAGAGAAAAATATATTTTTGCTTTGAATCCTGTCTTCGATTTTCGATATTCTGCTATCTGAGCCGCTTTTCAGTATGGGAATGTGACGCTCGGAGCTACTCGGAGCGTTGAGCTATACGTACGGACAAACGTCACACGTTATGACGGTGTGACATGTGAAATCTAGTGCGTGGCGTTCCCGGGGTGTTCTAAGGGCCATATTCTCCGTAGTTCATAAAGCCTGGCTTGGTGGAAAAGCTCGGCTTTGTCACACAAAAAGCAAGCGCGCCAATGTGCATACTGGAAAGCAGCTCTGCGATTCTGCTTGCGAGCAAGCGTGTAGTTAGTATGTGAATCCCACTTGAATAACCTGTTGCGACGTTGTTTTATGACGCGCAGAAGTCGTGTGCGTGGCTTCGCCCCTACATGATCAATGATCATAATCACAATATTTGGGGATTAGAACTTTTAAGGCCCGGTTTATTGATTTGATGTCCAAGAAGAATTTGCTGTTAACTGTCTACAAGATAAATTCACCGATCTAATTCTATTGGTCGATGGATAACGCGGATCAACAGGATTGCAGATTGCGTTTTTGTTCGTCAGATTGCATTACCTGACAGTTTATAAAAGAATGAATAAACCGGCCCTGAAAAAAAAAATCTGTGGTCGAAGAAGCTCTCATGCAGTACTCCAGAACTTAGCATTGAATAATTGGCAATATATGTTTCCTAATATCTAGACAGCTCTCGACTCGAGCTCTCCGTATTTTTGTAGCCATTCTTGTGGCGAAAGGTGAACGGAGCTTAAGTAAGCTTACCACTCAAACTTAACATAACTAAAACGTACCTTATTAAGTCAATTCTAGCAGAAAACATACTTTCTGATCTAGCCCTGCTGTTCATTGAAACTCATATAGCACAGAATTGTTATATGAGGGGATTATAAACAAATTTGCAAATGCAAAAATGAGCAAACAGCGATTCACCTACAATTTTGTATTTTGCTGGTTTGATTTTTATATTTATAAGAGCCGGTTTATTCACCTTCTTACAAACTGTTAGGTACCTAATGCAATCTGACGGACAAAAACTCTATCTCTGCAATATCCATTAGTCGGCTAGTTATTTGCCGACCAATAGATTATAGGAGGTCGATAAATCTATCTTGCAGATGGTTAAGAGCAAGTTTATGTAAAGATCAATAAATCGGGCCTGAGTGTTGATAAGTGATATTACCGTAGAAATTTCCATTATTTGTGTGTCTTCTTTAAATCAACTCTTAAAAGGAAAAGAGTAGGTATAGACGGTATAGTTAGAACCAACTAAGAAGAGCCCCTGACGTCATCACTGACGAAGAAGGCAAATTTTTTAGAGGCCTTCCCATTTGAAGTGAGACAAAAGATCACGCGGTGGCTTCTTCTTAGTTGGTTTTATCTATACCAATGAACATGGATGGTTTCAAATTTCAATTGACAAGATAGTTAGAGACATCTAGGTTTTACAATGGTCAAAATCCATATGCAGAAGATTCACATTTGAATTAGGGGCGCCAAAGTCGGATCTCGCTCCATCCTGAAAGTAGGCTCGGGCCGGCACTGGCTGTTTATAGAGAATAGGCCTGCGGAGCGGCAAAATTTGAGGCGGCATTTATATCGATAAAACAAAACAAGTAAATAAATAAATAAATAAAAGGTCTGTTAAATTGGCATAGAAATCACAAACCAGTTAGAGCGAATTTCATTGGTTGAAAAGTCAGAAACATTCAGAAAACTAGTTTCAACTTTCAACCAATGAAATTCACTCTGACTGGTTAGGGCCATATTCTCCGTAGTTCATAAAGCCTGGCTTAGTAGAAAAGCTCGGCTTTGTCACACAAAAAGCCAAGCGTTTCCACTAAGCCAGGCTTTATGAACTACGGAGAATATGGCCATTAGTGATTTCTGTCCGAACAGACCTAAGGCCGCTGCTGCCGTTAGGATCCAGTACTATAATATTTTGTATTTTTACATAGAAGGCATTCAACATTTTCTTTGTGAACAATGAAATATTTATAATAAATTTATGGAAAGCTTTTAAGATCGGTCGGCGCCGCGGCGCCGTTTTTGTTACGCTGAATACGCGAAAATTCCTAGTTAAAAAAACTTTTTATTTTCAGATGTTGTTTTTTTATGCCCGATTGCACCGTCTCTCTTAACCGATGCTTAGAGATAACTATTCCCTAAAGTGACATTTTCCCATGCAAAACTGTCAATTTAAGGGATAGTTATCGTTAAGCCTCCAAAAAATTATGGTGTGACCGATGCGACGCCTGGAGCGCGCCCGAAGTACTTTCTGAACGGGACAGAGTGCGCGCACTCGGTGTGCCTCTAGCATTTATGAACGGCTAGTGCGTCGCACCGGTGTCACACTCACACTGAGTGTGTCATTCCTGAACTCGCCCCTGGAGGTTTTCATTTGTACGTATTCACCACTGATCTGTATAAACCCGTTCCTAGCTAGATTTGCACTAATCAGATCCAAGTAAGCTCGTATTGATTCAAAACAGTGAAACAGCGGTGCGATCAAATGTTAACGCCAGAAAATTTTTTAAAAAAAGAAGCAATAATCATTTCAATTTCCATTATCTATCAGTTGTCAAAGTCAGAATAAACACAAAAATCAATTTTCAAATTTTCAAAATAATAAATAAATAAATACTTTTCTCTTTCCACTTGAAAACATATCTGAGAAATGCCAATAAACTGATGACTGAACAGTCAACGTATATATCGAACTTTGAGCTGGACGATTATTTATCGGTATGTTGAACATGAAAAATTGTAAATGTTTATGCTAGAATTGGCTGTAAACAACAAAATGAGCGATCTGAAGACCTTGTTTTCCAATTTTAACATTGTGGGCCCTATTAGTTTGGCCGTAGCCATTCCATGGATTATGTTTAAGATGTTCAGTGCGGTTTGGATCAAGAAAAACTATAATGAGCTTGCCGGAAAGGTAAAAGTTCCATAAAAAATGTTCTAGTTATAAATCATTGATAATTTAAGGTTGTGGTGATAACAGGAGCAAGCTCTGGCCTAGGAGAAGCCTTGGCTCACGAATTCTATAAACTCGGGGCACAAGTAGTACTTTGTGCTAGAAGAAGACAAGAACTGGAAAGGGTCAGGACAGATTTGTTACACACATATTGTAAAGATACTACACATCCTCCAATAATTATTCCATTAGATTTGAGTAAATATAATGATATGCAGAATCATGTGGATAAAATACTCTCCATAACAGGGAGGATCGATATTCTAGTGAATAATGGAGGGATATCGCATAGGGGAAGGGTGAAGGATACCACAATTGATGTGGATAAAAATATTATGGATGTTAATTATTTTGGAGCTGTTGCACTAACTAAAGGTAAAAACAATGGAGAGTTTTTTGCATAAATTAACAGTAACTCCCACTAAGAATTGCCCTAATGTACTTGAGGCTAAGACATAAATAAAAAACGCTTTGAAATAATAATAGGGAACTTGCAAGTTGCAAGTGAAGTAAAATTTTCCAAATTTGTTTTAAATCGATAGTTTATGCTGCACAATATTCATATGACCAGTTTTTATTTAACTGATACCGCCCTTGTTACACAAAAAATAATATTAAATTTGAGATAAAAATTTTCCCGCCAAAAAAATGCTCCTATGATGAATACCTGTTTTGACGTCAAGATTCTGTAAACCAACCTGTCAATAGGGAAATCTGTGATAGGGAATTTGCACGTAAAAAAAATACAAAAGCAGTCCTTCACAATATTCTTCATCCATTGCGACAATTTTCACAAAAAGCAAACTTTAACACACTTGAATAACACAAAAATAGCACTGCGTCAGCAAGAGTTCGTTTGCTGCGTATTTTATGTTTACAAAATCTCAACGTCACAAGCGCTGTCAAATTGAAATTTCGTGTTTTCGCGCCAAAGTATTTCATTTGAATTTCAATAATTTTTTTTGTACAACGAATAAATTAAAATGGAAAAAAAGAAAATTATGTTATAACTGATGACTAGAAGTTTCTAAAAAAAAAAATAATTTGAGAAATATGAAAATTCCCTATTCCTCAAATAATTCCTCTTTATATTGATTGACCAAATTCAAAAGAAATCTTGATGACAGTCAGTGTGATAAATCTTATCTGGATATATTGCATATATAAATTCAGAATACATATGTAAATGGTACATTAACACGTTCGCGGACAATTTCTAAAAGTATGTTGTTCTTAGAATGTCAATTTCCAAGTTTGGTGTGATAAATTGGTTTTTTCGCCGTGAACTGGACAATTTTGAGGTGGATAGATACTGTGGCAGGACTTATAAATTGAAAATAAATGTAGCTATATGGGATCTAAGACGGCTAGAGCTGTTATTTGTTTATAGAAGAAAATTGGAATGACTGCTATAGACATCATGTCCCAGGCAAGGCAGAAGAATATGACAGCTTTTGCCGTACTGTCCGCGAATGTGTTCAGTGTTCAATCCACTGCATTTACCTTATATGTACTATGAGGTTGTAATGCTAATGCTACTTAAACTATGATGAGGTGTACAAAATAAACGATTTGATATTTAACAAAATACCTATTTAAAATTACAGGTAGTTAACCAAAGCAAAATCAGAATTTAATAAGCTACTGGGTCAAAATTTCAAAACTATTAAACAATAATAATACAAGTAAACAGGTTTCTGTTTTTATGTTGACCCCATCCAACCACCTTCCTGCAATATAATATAATCCTACAACTTGCGATGCTAGTAAAATTGAAACCTGTTAACATGAGGGGTAAACTGCCAATGTATTCTAGTGTAGTGTAGAAGCCTCATGTAATCCCATGTATTCTTATTTCCTCAATGTATTCCTATGCATGCCCTAAGTATTCATCATATTCCTTTGAATTCCCATGTATTCCTATGCATTCTCCTTGAAAATTGTGATGTTTACGCGCATAATAACACAGTTTGTAATAACCACTATTTTAACAATGATGATTATTTCAGCTGTTCTACCAGATATGTTAAAGAAAAAATCTGGCCACATAGTATTCATAAGCTCCATTCAAGGTTTAGTGGCCTTACCAGATAGATCAGCTTATAGTGCCTCGAAGCATGCTTTGCAAGCGTTTGGAGATAGTTTACGGGCTGAAGTGGCTTCGGATAACATTTCAGTTTCCACCATTAGCCCTGGCTATATAAAAACTCAATTATCAATGAATGCTCTAACTGGAAGCGGACAAACTTATGGTGAAATGGATGCTACGACTGCCTCAGGATTTACACCAGATTATGCTGCCAAAGAAATAGTACGAGCTGTGGTTGTGAAAAGAAAGGAGTTGGTCTTGAGCACTCTATTGCCTAAAATTGCGATTTTTTTGAGGAAATACTTTCCATTTTTGTATTTTGTTGTTATGGAACGTAGGGCTAAAAGAGCTAGTTTGGCTGAGTTGGCTAAAAGCAAGCCCGATGAAAAGACCAATTAAATGTTTTGACAATAATTAAGAAATATTATTATTAATTTATATGGAAATTGCAGTGTTGTGTTGTGGCTGTTGTAATATAAGACAAATAGAATTTTGAGTTTTCTTTATAAAATACTTATCAAGTCAACCGAGAAGTCAACTATTCTGGAACTAAGACTAGAGTGATGTCGTTGGTAACAGTTTTATTAACGATCTTTCCGAAAAGCTCATATTTTTTTTCCAGGCGATTGATAATGTCAAGGATACTGTAACGGAGCGCTAATACATCATTCGCGGCTGTGAGAGGGGTAATATCTATTGTCCGTCGTTTTTAATAAAATAAATAAAAATCGGTTTATTGATGAGAACAAAGAAGAGAAAAACCCTGTACACATCAAATGGTGATTAGACCGCAAAGCGTTTTTTAATAACCACCAATTCAATAATTTAATATCACTTATTAACTAAAACAAGTAAAGATATAATAAAATATCACAATAAGTACATAAAATGTATAAAATAAAATGTATAAAATATGAAATATAAAACATGAAATATAAAACGTATAAAATATAAAACCTTGAATAACAATAATTACACAACCTGAAATGATGATACTGGCAGTGGCAAACCCCCATTGGGATACAATTATTTACATTAAAGACATAAATGCTTATCTCGTATTTCACTTTTTACCCTATTCCCAAATCCTATTATATTCAATGAAAACATCTGTGGAAAAAAGTTATATGTGTGTGCTACCAAGTAGGTGAAACAGGACTTGAATAGTTCACAGCGATGTTGTGGAATATTTAATAATATTTGTCCATTACGTGTGTTAAATTGATGTATATCACCTCGCTTAACCATCAATTCGAGGAGATACATAGGAATAGAACTCCTTATAATTTTATAAATCAGGCAGCAGAGATGCAAAAATCTTCTCTCTCCCATGTTGTTATGAAAGGTGTCTGTGACAGATTAGCTGACATGATCTCTGCGCGACAACTTGTGCACAAATCTCACACATGAATTTTGTATTTTTTGAATACGGTATTTATTAAAGTTAGTTAAAAAAGGACCATACACAACATCAAGATATCCAGGAATTGACAAAACAAGAGACTCTGTTAGATTTTTTTTAGTTGCTACCGGTAACAAATCTCTAAACTCAAAAAGGGTTTTGAGACGTAAATAGCATTTTTGTGAGATTTTATTTACATGACTATTGAAAGTAAAGTGTTTGTCAATACACAAACCTAAACTTTGAACTTCATCCCTAAACTCAATTTTGGTATTATCAAGATAGATTTGAGGTTCAATATTAATATTTGCCTTTGTGATAAGGATTCCTTGAGTTTTTTTAGGGTTTATCACAAGTGAGTTTTTTTTTGCCCAGTTTGATATTGCGTTTAGGTCGCTAGTTATTGCAGCGCTGCATTCTACCATTCGATCACTAGGTACTTCCATATATATCTGTAAATCATCAGCATACATATGGTATGAACAAAATTTTAAGACTTTAGGTAAATCTGAAGTGAAGATAGCAAAAAGTATGGGCCCCAAAATTGACCCTTGAGGTACACCAGACACAACTGGCCTCCACTGCGAAATAATTATTTCTCCATCCTTATTTAATTTTACGGCTTGTTCTCTTCCTGTGAGATAGTTTTTAAACCAATCATTACAAGTTATTTTAAAAATATTTAACTTACTAACTTAGTCAGTAATAGTTCAAGATTAATGGAATCAAATGCTTTCGTCATGTCAATTAGAATGAGAGGACAAGAATGATTAGAGTCTAGACCTTTAGTTATATCACTAGTTATACGAAGTAATGCTGTAGTGCAACTATGACCAGCTCTGAAGCCTGATTGAAATTTTGGTAAAATACTATGAGATAAGATAAATTCTTTAAGTTGCCTCTTTACTATTTTTTCAAGGATTTTCGATGCAGTGGGCAATATACTTATTGGTCGTAAATCAGTTAAGCTAGGGTTGTCTACTTTAGGTATAGGAATTATTAAAGCTTTTTTCCATAAACTTGGCACAGTCCCTGTTTCTAGTGAATAATTTATTATATTAATTTTTTCTTAATCTGACGCTTTCCGTATGAGGAGCTAGGGGGTGAAGCATCTGGCAAAAACAGGTGACCATTGGCGATCTAAGGTTCTAAGTAGGGAGCTCCCAACTCACATTCCTTTGGAGTATCAAATTAAAAATGACAGACTTTATATTATAAGTAACTCAGAAATGCAAAAAAATAAGTGTAGGTAGGTATGTATTATCTAATTTTTTATTCAATCCTCTTTTCACTCTGAGGATAGTCTCCAGAGAGCTGGTAGCCTCTTGCGCAAGGAGGTGTATATTTTGCTCTCATCTGAGATATGCAGTAAAATATTTTTATGTCATACCAGTACATTATTGTGTTTTTATACCTTAGATACCATCTATATAATTCATTACTTTATGCCCGTGCGGGCATAAAGTACACATTATGGCCCGCGCGGGCATAAAGTACACATTATGGCCCGCGCAGGCATGACATAAAAGTTTGTATGCACCACGGGTACTAATAGATATATACCCTCGGGCAACTTACGAACCCTCGGGCCAGAGGCCCTCGGCTTTGTAAGACTGTCGCCCTCGGGGCATAATCATCTACTTAGTACCCTTGATCTTGATACATAAATAACTATTAAGTATTATGTATTTACTTAAGATCGTTTTACGCCCTAGGGCCGATACTTTTGCTATCGATTAACGAATTTGATACGTTGTCAAATTTTTGCATGGGCAAGTATAGTCCGACAAATACCATTTTAAAGTCACGTGATACTGGTGGCAAAAAACGTATGTCCATTGATTATGTCGTTGATATCACCTACAAAAAGCTACTGGTGGTTAATTACTATTGAATTTTAATATATGTTCCCACTAACATTTTACAAACGCGTTTCTGAAGTAGTATTGACCAATCAGAGGGCAATTTTAATACTGACAATTGTTGCGAGACTCACTTTTGTCGCATCTGTTGTCTGTTGTAATACATTCTGAACTTAAACTGGGTACCCGTTTTCTATTTGCTTCTTTTCGAGTTGGAGAAAGGTTAATGTGGTCAAAATTATTAGCTGTGTTTGTTCGTTGTATTATTTTCGAAAATAACTTTGACAAACTAATTGATGACAGTGACGGATTCTATTTCAGGTAAGAATATTATGAACAATAATTAGACAGCAATTTTTTTGTCAATTTTACTATCACCGCTGTTTAAAATGTATTCGACAAGGATAGAGAAAAATCACGTGACTTTAAAATGGTATTTGTTGGACTATACCTGTGACTATACCCCTGATCATTTTTAACGGCTGTCAAATGAGAGCAAAAGTACCGGCACCTAAAGCCGGGCTCAGACTACTCATGTACTTGGCGAATACACAATTATTCGCGTACTTGGCAAGTATACTAAAGTCTGTTTTTTTTTTAAAGATAATTCCCCAAGTCAAAAATTTAGTAACTATGTTGGCAGCACAAGCCTTTTCTACATAAAAATTTGAAAGCATTGACAATTTTACATTGTATTGCGAACATAATGTCATTTTGACTTTTATCTTTAAAAAAAACACACAGTTTAGCTTTGCGAATTGCGATGACAAGCAGGGCGCTCACACGACGTGTTCAATTTACAAGTACGCGAGCGCGAACATTTGGCTAAACCTTGATGCACGTCGAAAACTAAATGAAATAATCGCAGTAAAAGCCAATTAGTTGTGCATTTCGTTTGAGCGGCTCTACAAGTATAGACAAGTATGAACTTGGCAAGTGTACGAATAATCGTGATCCCTTTGACTCGGGACATTTTTACCGACAAGAAATGGAAAACCAACGAGTGACAAATAATTGTTCAAGTAACCCACTCCACACGACATGGCAAGTATACGCAAGTAACGATTATTCGTCAAGTACAGGGTATTTGATTAAGCCGGGCTCAGACGACTCGTGTACTTGGCGAATACACAATTATTCGCGTACTTGGCAAGTATACGAGCTTTGCGAATTGCGATGGCAAGCAGGGCGCTCACACGACGTGTTCAATTTACAAGTACGCGAGCGCGAACATTTGGCTAAACCTTGATGCTCGTCGAAAACTAAATGAAATAGTCGCAGTAAAAGCCAATTATTTGTGCATTTCGTTTGAGCGCTTCTACAAGTATAGACAAGTATGAACTTGGCAAGTGTACGATTAATCGTGATCCCTTTGACTCGGGACATTTTTACCGACAAGAAATGGAAAACCAACGAGTGACAAATAATTGTACAAGTAACCCACTCACACGACATGGCAAGTATACGCAAGTAACGATTATTCGCCAAGTACACGAGTCGTTTGAGCCCGGCTTTATTTTGCACCATACCTACAGCCTTTACTATTTAAAATAGAAAAAAATTTCAAATACAAAACTTGACAGTTTTTTTCTATATTTTCTGATAATATTATTGTTTTACTGATGTTTTGTCTCTGAAATTCTCATATTTGGGAGGACACGAAATGATCAACAACATGGGTGGGTTTCAAGTGCTTTATTCGTTTCAGTTGACAACTGACAATGGTGTGACAATTTTGACTGATGTGAAGTTGTGCACAATTCACCAAACGTTAAGCCATGCCATGACTATGGCGTTAAGCCATGACATCTCCCTTTTTACAAGGTTCACAAAGGCATTACATTTTACATTTCAAAGCTCCCTAGTATCTACAACAAATCACATAATTGTTTGTACAATTTTTTTTCTTAAAATTAAATGCTTATTATAATACAATGTGCGATAGACGATTCGCTTATTACATAATCGTTATATTCGTTACCGAGCCAAACGCTCCATACAATGTTACTTTTCAAAGTTAATCCTTCTATGCATCTGTATGCAAATTGCAGATATTTACAATGATTGTTTTTAAATAAAACTTCTTACATTTTTATGAAGAGTTAACTATTATTTTACTGCCCTGTCCTTTTTCCCAACAAAAAGTTTTTTTTTTTTCTTTTTCTTGTAAAAGTTACATTTAGGTAGAGGACAATTAATACATGTTTTTTCTTTACAAACTACATTAAACTTGAATATCCCCATTCATCTCGTGTGAGAAGATGTATTAAAGAAGTGTTACGAACTCCTCGAAGCTCTGTACACCAGTGTATAATTTCACCCTATTAATAGGTTTTCCAAAAAATTTAACAATTTGTATTGTTAAATCACAATTTTTTGACTTGCCCTACTGAGGCTATCAATATCACGTAAGACAACGAAATCTGAAAATTTAGAGGGTGTTTTTACTGTTCTTCCAGAACGAGAAGTTCTGGTGGAAGGGCCAGTGTTTTTCGATGGTCCCTCTTGGTCAATTTTTTTACAAAGATATTTACAATTATTTAAGTTTGACGCGTCTTCATCGACAGCCGTCTGGTCAGAATATTGTTGATGCAAATTTTGCTCAATCTCGACATAATCGTCAGAGTTATCGCTAATTTTATTCCCTATTTCAGGTTTGTCATTAATATCAGGGTTACTTTCTACACTGCTGTCATTCCCTGTCCTGCCCTCAGTCTCAAAAAGCTCCTCAGTCTGCTCACTTTCACATACTTTTACATAATTTTTGCTGAACTGTTGTTCTGTTATTTTTTGTTCAGAAACCGCTGGAACTTTTTGCTTCTGTGGGGTATTATTTTTATTATTAAGGAAACTGCAATCTTTAATGAATTTTCTATTCCTAATGAGAACCGAACCACTATCGAGCTTTAGTTTGTATGCCCGTGTCCCCACTCTTTTTATGACCCTAGCATCTGTCCAGATGTCCGCTGGTTTGAACTGAACTTTAACGCGAGAATTATTTTTTCTACTGACGTTTCATAATAGCAACTTTTCGATTGTCATTTCAGTTTTGAAACGACATTCTTTTAGGCACTGAGTGTGTGAAAGTTACTTTTAGGCACTCAGTGCGTAAAAGTGACTTTTGAATGCGTAAAAGTGACTTATGAGTGCGTAAAAGTAATTTTTAAGCACTAGTGCCTAAAAGTGTCATTCATTATTCAGAAATAAAAAACACACTAAACACATATTTGAATTTTGTTTTGTATTTATTATGAATATTGGAAATGGAATTACTGAATTGAACGTTTGGGTTACTCAAAACAGAACTTTGTGTTATTACCTACTTTCTAGGATTTTAATTATTGATGTCGAATTTTGGAAAGAAAATCGCATGAAAAGTGCCAGGTGTCAAGTAAAAGCAGGTAACAAAGATTTTGGGTGTAATCGACTTATTCACATGAAATAAAATTGTGTTTTTTTATTATAAAATGCCAGTAGAAAAAATCTTGTATACAATACGTTACGAAACGATGTCTTTTAGTCACTCGACGTGTTGTCCAACTCGGCTTTGCCTCGTTGGACAATTTTCACGTGGCGTGCCTAAAAGACGCTCATTTCGTAACTTATTGTATAAATAGCTATTTCAAAACTGATAGTGGTTTTGCTCGCTTGTCGTAAATCTGTTTTTGTTTTTGCTTAGACTGATCAATAAAGTTATTATAAAATTGTCTGTTAAAATTTTCCTTGATAAACTTTCTATTGACATTTGGCAACAAATCTCTAAGCTGTCTGTTATACAATATTATAGCAGGAGAGTGCTTTCCATCTATTGGGGTGCTTCTTAGGTTTAAAAGAGCAAGATAAGGATCTTGATTGT